TAAATAATCTTATTTCTGTCCTCTTACTACTACTGCTACTGCACCTGAAGTAGCAAATATTTTTTTTTAACACTATATTCAAAAATTATGGTCTACCAAAAATTATTATTTCTGATAGGAACCTATAATTCACAAGTTATTTCTGAAAAACTTTATTTGAAAAGCTTGGAATAAAACTTGTCATGTCTACTGCCTTTCATCTCCAAACGGATAGACAAACTGAACGAATGAACCGTATTTTGGAAGAGATGCTTCGCACCTATACTAATTACAAACAAGATAATTAGGATGAACTACTACCTGCAGTTGAATTTGCTTATAACAACTTCAAAAATATTTCCTCTAGTTTTACACCATTTGAAATTGACTTAGGTCAACATCCGAACATACCTTTTTCACTAATTACAAATCTTGAAATTAACGTTGCTGCCTCAGATGAAATATTACAAAATTGGAACAATACTATCAAAACTACACAAGATAATCTTCGCCTCGCACAAGAAAAACAAAAGAAATATTATGGTCAACATTACCAAGAATTAACTTTTGATCTTGGAGATAAAATACTCTTTTCATCCGCAAATATTCATGACCCTTCTCAAAAATACCGACCTACACAAAAGTTAACACTTAAATACCTTGGACCATTTACTATTGAACAAATTATTTTACCTACTGCATATAAATTAAAACTTCCACCTACTCTCAAAGTACATCCTGTTTTTCATATTTCTAATCTTAAACTATATAATAAAAATAAATCTGAACAATTTGAACGAGAAGTACCATCACCTCCTGTTATCACTGATACTGATGATGAACTTGAATTTGAAGTCGAACAAATATTGAATGTTTGTATATATCGTGGAAAGAAACAATACTTGATAAAATGGATAGGATACCCTTCACATGATGTAATATGGGAACTCAAAAGTAACTTATTCAATACTACTGAAATTTTAACTGAGTTTAAACAAAATAATTAACGAGGACATTAATTCTTCAGGTGTGGGAAAATATAATGGTTTACAAGGACCCCCCTGCTTTTTGATTTCCTTCTATATTTTCTTTTATTATTATTTTATATATTTCTTTTTTTAATTTGAATTCTATTCTGAAACGATGTGGGATTGTTAAAGATTATCAGGATAATTATTTAGTAACTTTATTAATAATATTATATTTCATATTCAATTTCGACAATCCGTAAATTAATATTTATCATTAATATTATGTAAATAGAATTATTTTTTATTTTCTTTTTATTTTTATTTCTGTTTTTATATTTTATTTATTTTATTAATTCTTTTATTATGCTAAGCTCAAATCAAGATAAAAGGGTTTTAAGCTCTAAGTATTATTAAATGTTTATACATTTTATTATGTATTTTTACTTTTGTAATTTTATATAAATAAGGCATAAGAATAATAAAGAAAAGGGTAGATTTCATTCTGCTCAAATAATTATTTATTTATTTATTAAATACTCTGTTTAACCAAATTGTCTCAATTTGCTTTTCTTTTATTGGTAATTATAAATGAGTTAGGACAACTCGTTACACTATTGTATATAGATATAAATTTCTATATGCTCATCAGTACAATGACACTATATCTAGCTATAGTTTTAGAATAGATTTGTATATTTTCTTTAAACTGTCTTGCAATTTTGATCACCATTTTTAATGTAGAGTTCTCTTGAAATAAAATAAGTACTTAATAGACAACATCTTTTTGAAATCTTTTCAAAAAGTATCAGACCTTTTTATTTTTGCTTCACTGGTTTTTTCTGTCAATTCTCTTAATTAACTTCCTGATATTGTTAATAAATTATTCTACAGTTTTGTTTAGTTTTTGTATCTTCATTTGTAACTCATACCTCTATTGGTTTATCAATGCAGTAGTTTTAAAGGTAGTCAAAAAGAAAGATTCAATGATATATGTTCTAGTGTATAATAGAATTTTGTCCTTTTTGTGTTTCTCTAAACCATTGTCCTGCTGCACCTTACAGGTATTCACAAACTATACTAAACTTGTATTCACTTTTGTATTGATTTATTATCATAAACCTTCAGCCATTTTATAGAATCTTGATTTTATTTACAGAATAATAACATCCTTGTGTCATTTTTTATATAGAAAGTATCTTGTGGTCCTCTTATCAAATCATTGATTCTATTTCTTTCAGCAATCTGGCTTATTCCCCTAGTTATTCTCTTGGTTACTCGTTTATTTGTCAAATCAACTATCATTTCATTGAAGCTGTTAAAGGGAATATTTCTAAATTCTTATATCTTTGTCTTGTTATATGAAATTTTTATCAGATTAATCTTCATCATAAATCTGTTGATTAATGAAATTTTTACTATGTTGAAGGTTGTTTTGGATCATTGATTCTCAGCCAAAGGCTAAAGATTAGAAGTTTGTTCTATTTGTAACGGCAATCTTATTTTACTTTAAATTAAAATCTAAAGGCCATTTTGCCTAAGAGAATTGAAGAAAAAAAAAATAAGTTTAGGATAATTATACAATAATTCAATATATCACTGACACACTTCTCTTGTGTGCCTTGTGTGCAATATCATGAAGCACAGTAAGATCAGGTAATTAGTTAATCTAAGACTGCTTACTAACACTCTCAAACAATGCAATTATGTGTAATATCTGAAATTACGATAAGAAAGTGGAGTAAAAGTATCTTTATTACCGCTTGTACACTACCAAACTGAAATAGACTTTTTAATGCAACTTTGCCAAGAAATACGAAATAGTTTATTGAAATTTATTAAGATTTCATTTAGGAGTATAACAATAGCAATATATTACTACTTTGGCGTATCTTATCACTTTGCTTCCTCCTGCACTAAATTAATTATTAAAATTATTACAGAAATACAACAATAGAGATATATTACTGTGTTGGTGTATCTTATCCCTATTGCTATACGAAATTATTTTATTATTATTATTATTACCAATATTATTTAATATTATTTCAGAACTATTTACTATTACTAAAATTATTAAGAAATTATTTAAGTATCAAAAAAAAAAATGATTTCGCGAGAAGGGAATCTCTCATTTTTCTTTTGGATGAAGAATGATGTGCGACGCACAAGGATAATTTCATCCAAATAGTGACACCGTGTTTAGGACGTTTTCGTACCACCTCAGTATTATTGAGATTATTAATATAAAATAAAAAAATGTTTCTTTTTTCTTGTTGAGGCAAAAGGAATTTTTTTTTCTTCCCTTCCCAATCCGCAGCTATTTTATATCTTCCCTTATTTATCTTCATCCGCCATCATCCATAAACACGAGGATGAATAAACAATTATCTTGGATGACAGATGATAATTCATCCAAATAGTAACACCTATCATCTCCCGTGACTTCGGCCAATTCGTTATTTACCGATTAATTTTATCGCTGTATTGTATATTCACATACTGTATTTGTATTAAAGTCACAGTCACACAAGTGTAGGTTACAATAATATAAAATATTAATACACAGATCTTGATTTAAGCATAACGTTACATGTATTAATCGACAGTGACAACGAAATATTAGCTGTGATTTATGTCATACTAAAAAATAAAAAATAAAAAATTCGTCCTCTGTCTTCGTCCCATTTCATTCCATAAAATCTATAAGATTTTACTGTATTGTCGATTCGTTTCGTCTTCCTTCGGCACCGTGATCATCCTCTGTCGTCTTCTTTGTCATAATCTAATCAAACATTACACAGATCTAATCAAAAAAAAATTCCGCTTTCGTCGCCGTAATATAATATAATAATGTAAAAATGAGTAATAAATAAATGAAATTGATTAATTATCTATATAATATTTTTATATAATCACATATTTATTAGAACTTTATAATTGGTGACTATATCAAATATAGAGTTTTTTTTTATAAGCGCCTTTTTTTATAATCACCAGATTTCTGTATCCCGACGCTGTGACTACAATTCTGCCGTTGCGGTGTGTCAGCAATTACTTTATACTTAATAATTAATTTGTTGTTTTTTGATCGAGAATATGGGTTTTAATTAAATCCATAAATATTATTGTTATAGCTATGTCACTTAGAGATCAGACAACAACTAAATTATTTTATATATATAATGTTTAAAGTTCGATAATTTTTTTTAAAGCACAAATAATTAAAATAATTAAATAATTAAATAAATTTATTATGACCTTCTAAAAATTATCCGTAAATAAATATAATAATTTATTTATTATTTCCTTTTTTTAAAAAAAATTATATCATTTATTTATTAAAAAGAAAATAATTTGGGCAGTTTTATCAAATCGAATCGGGAAGGTAATTCTTATTCCACAATACCGATATAATAAAATTTTCTACATTCTAATCATTAGATCATGATGGTGAATCAAGTATAGGTCATAATTTTTAGTTTGAATTATTTTATTTTCTTCATTTATTTTGATTTCTTCTTGTTTAATGTAATTACATCAATTATTATAATTAAATGCATATAAAAAAATATTTAGTATTTCTAAATTGTAAAAATTTTTGAGAATTTGATTTGCGAAATTATTATCAATTTCTGCGTATAATTTCCCTGTAAAAAGAATATGATACAATTATGAGAAATAATGAAGTCTATAATTAAATTAAACAATTTTTTATCAAAGGGCAAAAAGTGTTAGAATATAATATGCTTTATTAAACTACGTTTTAGAATCCTGCATAATGGATGTTCGTTGATAATCTTGCCAAAAAAATAGAAAATATACGAGAAAAACTCAAGACTATATTATAATACAAGTAAATTTCGTTTCTGGAAATGGCAATGAGAATAGTTCATTTTAAATTTTTCCAATTAAAAGCCACATTATAAATCTTAATATAAATATAAATCTCGCAATTTTTCTAAAATTTCCGTACTTAAGAATATGTCGTCGAGATATGAAAATTATAATTACAAGAATCAAATACTTTTTTTAAGTATTTTGATAATATTAATGATATTTACACTTTTAAATGAAAATCAAACTATTTTCGACGAATACATTTTAGATACAAAGGAAGATCCTTCGACCTTAGGTTTTGATCATATTTATGTTATTAACCTTGATAATCGAACTGATCGAAAGGAGAAAATGCAAATGATAGCAAATTATCATAATTTGGATTTTGATTTTTTTTCAGCAGTTTCAAAAGATGATATTAAAACACTTAACAAATATCCTTCATCTCTGTCGCCTCGTCATAAAGCATGTTATGTCAGTCATTATAAAGTGTATGAATCTATTGTAACTCATGGATATAATAGTTCATTGATTTTAGAAGATGATATAGATCTTGAAGAAGATATCAAAAGAATTGTAGTGGAAGAAGTTTTACCTTATCTACCGGAAAATTGGGAATTATTATATATTGGAAGTTGTTTTGCAGGAGGTATATGGGATGGTGATGTATCTTTAAATGGTGAATCATTTGAATATAAATTATTACCCTTTAAATCCCCATTATGTAATCACGCTTATGCAGTTTCATTGGTGGGTGCTCAGAAATTATTAAATTATTTAGTAGATGTAGATATTCCAATAGATTTATATTTAAGGAAGATAATGGACGCTGGAAATATTACAGAAATTACATTAATTCCTTCAGCAATAACACAATGGATATCTGATGATAATCCATCAGATGTTTCTCCAGATGCGGTACCACCTACTTTTTCTTTGACCAATTCCACTTTGCATTTACTTGGATTTAAAGAGGAAATTGTTAAAAAAAATTAGTTAATACATTTTTAAATTTTATATTTTCTTAGAATTTATTTTTATTTTACTGCAAAAAACTAACTTAATATATATAAGAGTTCATCTGAATGAAATGTTTTAAATTTTTTAAAATGCTTTTCAAAAATACTTTGATCTTCATGTCTTCGAATAGTGAATATAATAATGTCCAAGAAAATGTCACCAATAAGCATTAAGAGTCTTAACAAAATTATTGTTTTCATATCTGATTTTTTTACATTATTATTATATATATATACCGATGATATGTGTCACTGTTTGGATGAATTATCCTTGTGCTTCATCCTTCATCCAAGGTAACTGTTTATTCATCCCCCGTGATTATGGATGATGAAGGATGAAGGTAAATAAAGGGTAAGATATAAAATAGCTGCGGAAAAGGGGAAGTAAAACGAGAGATTCCTTTTGGGCCTTAACAACAAAATTAGGACATTTTTTACTTTTATTTATTTCTTTATTTTTTTGTAATAATTCCAATAATAATAAATAATTTGTGTAGGGAATAACAAAAGTGATAAGATACGTCAAAGCAGTAATATATTGCTTTTGTTATATTCTAATATTAAACTTTAATAAAAATTGATAAGCTATTTCTTTTATTTCTTGGCAAGTTACATCAAAAGTCTGTTCAGTTTTGATAGTGTGCATTCGGTAATAAAGATACTTTTACTTCACTTGCTCATCGTACCTTCAGATATTACACGTAGCTACATAAATTGTAATTGTTAGTAAGCAGGTTTAGATCGACTGATCGCCTGATCTTTACTATGTGAGAGTATTATTGATAGAATATTTTGTTGTGTAATAAAATTGAATTAACTTTCCCTATCGTTCTGCACAGACCGTGACAATGATGACGTATTGTATATTTTTTTTACAATATATATTATATGCTATAAGCTACTGAGTGAGCGAAATTAATAAAAAAATAATGATTTTTCATATAATATTTACCTTTTTCCTTTCCTTTTCTTTTTCTCTTTTTCCTCACAGGTACAGGTTTAGGCAGATTATACATTTTGAATGTCCCCGGGATTTTTTTTACTGTCCCCATGTCTGTCCTACCCTTAATGAGCTTATGAAGATATATTAAAACTTTATAAGTTCATGCAAAACTCGATTCTGAACAACTTTAATTAATGACTCAAAATAGGTTTTTATAATAAAAGTTTGCGTTATTTACGTTTTAAAAAAATAATAATTTTTGTTGCATTGTCCCTTGACAATCTGGGTTTGGGTTTTCGGATTACAGCTTGAAGGTTAAGTGATACTATGATAGTAGGTATCAAAGGATTGAGGTTATGCGCATTAATAATACTGCTAAAAATGCTTCTTCCTCTTCTTCTAACGCAGCTAAGCTATTGAATTAATCAAGATTAGGGTAGTAAGAAATCGAAATACTCTATATATCGTAACTTTATTAATCCTTTTTTTTCTTATTATTCTTAACCCGAATTCTGGGGGTGAATTACATTTTTAAGTAAGAAACTTTATTATACTAATCATTGCTTCTTTCTTTTTATGGATTTTTTGTATATTTTTTAATGATGTAACGATGATTTGGATAAAGATATTAAATAAAATCAGATCGACGCAAAGCGTCGATCTAAGGCACAACATATTATTTTATACGTAACGTAATTTCTAAGTTATGCGCATTACTATTAGCTGTTAGTATTGATTTCTCATAATAACCAAGAAATACAGTAATTATTTAACTTAAATTATGACAATCTAAAATTATTTTTTTTTTTACAAACTCGAATTTACTCAAAATAGATAATGATAGTCACTTCCCAATTAATTTTGTATTATCAGATAATATCAAAACTAAAACCTATTATCAGTTCAACTCTTAACAGGATCAAGGAGGAGCAAAATTTGAAAAAATACATGTGAGAATGTCGATGTAGTAATAAACCTGTCTAGTCGATTTAATTGATTTACAAATCAATCAACCTGGAGAAAAATAATTTTCTTTGTAGATTTGGACGTGCATACATACATATATACTTACAGTAGTGCCGATTTCTCACGAATCACGACTTAAGTATCAACAATAACTCATCTAACCATAAAAACGAAAATCAAAAAGACTTCATTTTCTTCACTTTATGATTGTTACAATTTTAATAGATACTTAGCAGATATTTATTTCCTAAATAATAATATCTTAGGTAATTTTAAAGTTAATTTATTGGAAATATTATTTAACAATATTCAAAAAAAAAAGGATTGTCTTATTCACACCGCAACAAAAAAAAAATTAAAATATTAGATGTTAGTAAAAATAATTTAAATCAAGACAAGTGTCTAATATTTATATGTATATAGAATAAATATTTTAATTTATAGATTTTAATTTATAGATTTTAATTTTTTTTTAAAAAAAAAAATATCCAATAAAAAAAATACGAAAATAATGAATTAAAAAATTCTAATAATAAATATGCAAATAAATTTTGAGTCCGATAATCTAATCGATGAAAATAAAAGTTTTATTGCTCCTCTTTTATACAAATCTTATTGGTAACATTTTCTTGTTCTCTATTATATTCGCTGTTCGAATCCATGAAGATAAAAGCATTTTTTCGCGTTCTGTAAATATTTTCATATATTTCAGCCACAGATCATAAATTTCAGGGCAAGTACATCACGAGATTTCCGTTGACTTTGGCCAATCAAAATCGTGAATTTTTGTTTATACGAAGAAGTAAAAAAAAAAGTGAAAAACGAAAAATACAAGAAACAGATGTCTAAACATATCTTAGCACATTAATAAAAAATGTCAGGAGGAATTTACATATTACATCTACTTAAATCTTAATCCTAACTAATTTCTGGTTAAATTATGACAGATCGCAGATCATGAGTTCAATAAATTCAACACATTCACGAATTAGCATATGTTTTTTTACAACAAAATAAAATTCCAAGAGGGTAAAAAAAAATTTGAAAAATTTATTAACCAATATTTTTAGCAATTTTCTCTTTAAATCCAAGTAAATGCAAAGTAGAATTGGTCAAAGAATATATAAATTTATTATTTTTCGGACTCGAAGAAATATCTGATGGATTATCATCAGAATTCCATTGTGTTATTGCTGAAGGAATTAATGTAATCGCTGTAATATTTCCAGCATGCATTATCTTCCTTAAATATAAATCTATTGGAATATCTACATTTACTAAATTATTTAATAATTTCTGAGCACCCACCAATGAAACTGCGTAAGCATGGGTACATGCTGGGAATTTAGAGGTGAATAATTTAAATTCAAATGATTCACCATTTAAAGATACATCGCTATTCCATATACCTCCTGCAGCGCAACTTCCAAGGTATAATAATTCCCAATTTTCTGGTAGATAAGGTAAAACTTCTTCCTCTACAATTCTTTTGATATCGTTTTCAAGATCTATATCATCTTCTAAAATCAATGAACTATTATATCCATGAGTTACAATAGATTCATACACTTTATAATGACTGACATAACATGCTTTATGACGAGGCGACAGAGATGAAGGATATTTGTTAAGTGTTTTAATATCATCTTTTGAAACTGCTGAAAAAAAATCAAAATCCAAATTATGATAATTTGCTATCATTTGCATTTTCTCCTTTCGATCAGTTCGATTATCAAGGTTAATAACATAAATATGATCAAAACCTAAGGTCGAAGGATCTTCCTTTGTATCTAAAATGTATTCGTCGAAAATAGTTTGATTTTCATTTAAAAGTGTAAATATCATTAATATTATCAAAATACTTAAAAAAAGTATTTGATTCTTGTAATTGTAATTTTCATATCTCGACAACATATTTTTTGAAAATAATGGAAATTTAGAAAAAATTACTAAAACTTTATTAAAATACTAACAGAATTGGTTTATATTCTTTCGGAAAATTTATAGCTAAGATAGGATTTAATAAATGATCTTATTTATGAACTTTAAAATATTTAATATTTGTAGCTTAATTGAAACTTTCAAATTCAAATAAGCCATTTTCTTTATCTTTTCATTTATTACCAATAAGCCATTAATTTATTCATAAGCCATTTCTATCATATACGCTTAACATATTGGATATGTATATCATATTTTATCACTCTAATAATCATGATTGACTGCGTGTCATAGTGCTGTGCTACTTTTTTTTTTTTTTTTTAAAAAAAAAAAAAACTAGCTTAGCCCCCCAAAACTTGATTAATGATCACCCAATCCAATCGTTATCCAAGTATTTATAGTTAATTCATTTGTGGAATATATGAATAATTTCTGTGGGTAATCGCAGCAGCTTATATTAACGAAATAAAAAATGTTTAGAATTTTAACTTTAATTTTTTGTAATTAATATTATCTGTTATAATAAATTTGTATAATATGATATGATATAAATAGTATTATCGAGATATTTATTACAATTCTAAAAAGAGATGAAATCGTAAAATACTTGTAGTGTTTAATTATCATTACAGAAAAAAAAACAAATATAAAAAACAAATAATGAATAAATAAATAATTACTAAATAAAATATAAAACGGAAATGAAATCTGAATGGCTTTTAATTCTACTGTTTGATTGATGAGATGAATATTTATCATTAATTAATTTATATAAAGTAAAAATACAAGATTTGCCTTCTCAAGTCTTTAAAAACATAATGTCATATTTCAAGCTTCAAAAATAATCAAAATAAAAAATAAATAATAATAATAAAAAAAATAAATAATAATAATAATAAATAAAATAATAATAACAAATAAATAATAAAATAAATAATGATAATATATATAATAAAAAATAATAATTTACAATCGACATTTCAGGTTAAAGGACAAAATGAAGTCTAATATTTATATTTCTCTATTTATTTAAACTATTTTTTAAATTTGTTAAATTTTTATTATTGTTGTTATCGTTGTCCAGAATAATAATTATTATTATTATTTTATATTACTTTTATTATTAC